ATGTTATATAACGTTATTTAACGTTATTTTAACATGTCTTATGATAAAAGAACGTTATATAACGTTATTTAATGTTATTTTAACATGTCTTATGACAAAAGAACGTTATATAACATTATTTAACGTTATTTTAACATGTCTTATAATAAAATTAAGAAAAATTCGCAATTCTTGCGAATTTTTCTTTTTTTTTAAGGACAGCCCTTCGGGCAGATTTGTTATTTACTTGATGTTCCAATATCTACTGCGCCACCCAAAGTGCAATACAAGATCTTAGAGAATGCGAAATGAAAATAACAGCTAATACATAAAATATTTAAATGAACATGAATTTTCAATCACTAAATATTACTTAAGGGTTTTATATTTAAGAATCCTTGGATAAATTAGTTTTTAACTGTAAATAAAAATATTGGCAAAATTAAATTTTTGTTTTGTGCAAGAACAAAAATTGATCGACATAATATTAAAAAATGTGATTTATTCGTGATCTATCAAATTAACATTCATCTTTAGTGGCACAGTTAAATTCAGTGCAAAAAGTTAACATTATGATTGACTGTCTATGTACTGTACATGTACATGTACAGTACTTGTTCATGTTAATGTACTGTACATGTACATGTACAAGTACATAAGTTATATAAGATTTGATGGACCTTTTTTTACCAAAAAGGAAATTTTTTTCAATTTCATGGCAATTCTGCATGTGGGTAAATATCAAATTAAGAAACGATGTACATATATTCGAATTAATAAATTTGATAAATTTATAAAATGATTGACAAATGATTGACATAAAAATAACTACTTTTGTAAAAAACGCCCAACAAAAGATTATCTCTGTGTTAAAAAATTTTACAAATAGGGAAAAAGAGCTTATTTATAACTCTTTCTTACAAATTGTTAAAATCGCTTAAAAATCCGCAGTAAATATCTAACAATTTATAGAAAATGTCTGGAAACGCTAAACGAGGTGGTAGAGGTGGTAGACAAACACGTAGCTCAAGCCGCAATTCCCAAGCAGGTGGAAGTAGGCCGACTAGTCCTGAAAACCAGTTCACCTTCAGTGCACAGAAGGAAACTGCTTCTCATCATGAGAGTATTTGGAATACCTATCGGAAAAAGCCGCAACCAACTTCTGACAAAAAACTGACAGAAACCATGGAAGCTGAACGTGCTATGGACATGGAAAAAGAAATTGTTCAGGATACTTATGGTCCAAACTCCAAATCTTCTTCTGCTAACGACAAAGGGAAAGCTACTGAAAAGTCCAAGGTGGTCGCGAAAGAATTGTCACGTGACCCTCCCTTACCTCCGCAGAATATTGTAAACAACGTGAATGGAACCAATAAGGTTCCAACTCTTAACAAAGAAATTAGTTCAACTCCTCATAAGGATCAACAACAATCTGTTGTTTTGCCTAATCAGGATAAGATTAATCTGCAAGCCGATCAAGGGTCCCAGCCCATGGATGTTGATCCTAGTAATTCTAACAAAGACCCGTCGATCATTACTATAGAAAAAATAAAAGAATACATTGCACTTGTTCCATATGGTGAGCTTATTGGAGGAAAAAGTCTAAAAACTACCAAAATTAAAAAGGCGCTACAAACCTATAATATCCAGTATAACAAACAACTTCCAGTTACCCCGTTGGGAAAGCAAGGGGCGAAGGTATCATTTTTGGACAAAGAAAAATTTGACCAATTTCTTAAAATAGAACTTGTTATTCAGGAGCAAAAAGAAGGTGATTCGGGTGAAGTGTTTAATGTGAAACTTCAACCTACCCCATTAAAGCCTGAAAAGGTGGCTACTACAAATGACAAGGATAGTGATACGTCACAAAATTCCAATAATCGTACAATTCAAGTGATTGATATTCCTGCGTTTAGACAGGTACGCGAAATTCGTGAATCCTTTGAAGATCTTGGCAAAATTGAGAAGATTTATACGAGAGGTGCTGGTCTTTACCAAGTTGCTTTTATTACGTATAAGGATGCTACTTCTATTGATTACTTTAAAGAGCAATGGAGTTATCATATTAACAAAGACATAGTTAGAGTTTTACCATTGTTATTGAGCAAAGAGGAACGCGAGAAAAGGAAACAATTCTCGTTAAGATTATCTGGGTTACATTATCAAACTAGTGGTTATGATCTCAAGGAAGTTATGACACAATGTAAAGGGAAAACTTGTTTTATCCCAGCTGTTATGATTCGTGGTAAATATCAAAGATGTCGCTATGCTTACATTCATTTTTCTTCGCGAGATGATTTGGTGGCAGCCAGACAAATGAATATTGAATTCAAAAAGGGCAACGCTGGTACTCGACAATTATACTGGAGTAAAGAGGAAGATCGCATTTGTAATATTTGCGGTAATCCCACTCATATGGCCAAAGACTGTACTAACAAAGATATTAACAAATCTCATTCTAAACGGTTTGTTAGTGGCGCTGATAATTGGAAAAATCTAAAAAAGTCGTATGCAGATGCGGCTAAATCTAAACAAAAGCCCAGAAATAATTCTAAATCTAATAATAATATTCCCTCTGGATCACGTGATCAAGGAAGACCTCGCAGTAATCATGATAATAATGATGACGATGGTGATGACTTTAATAACCATCCGATGTTTTTAAAATTCAAGGAACAAATTATTAATACTATAAGGAAGGTTGAAGATAAATTGCTCAATATGGAGTCGCTTATTAGCGATACTGGCAAGCAAATTGGTGAAGTTGTTACAGCTCAACAAGCGCTTAAATGTGATAAAGCGCATCCAGTTCCAATTAGTAAGAAAAAGAAAAATCAACAATCTGATAATAATACAGAAGTTAAAGCGAAAAGACGCTGTAAAAGTGATTCTGAATCGAGTGAAGATGAAGATGAACTTGCGAATAAGTCCAATATTCAATCACAACAATTCCAAAAATCCGATCAAAACATTCAAAATATTGTTGCTCAACAGAAGCAAATACAACAAAATCACCAGGAAACTAAATCCTTACTTTCATCTCTTTACAACATGTTAGCTGGTGGCCCTTCAGCTTCATCATTATTGGGGGATAATGATGAAGTTTTTGACGATTCTGCCGTATAATTATTTTTATGATGAACAATAAT